CTGAACTATTTTGGGGAACTTAGTTTCCTAGTGTCAATAAAAAGTAATTAACAGAGAAATTCCTTTCACTCATGTGACAGAGTTTAGAAATTTATTTCTTGTCTTCTTCAGGGCCTGACATTTAATTACTAGCTAGAAAGATTATAATTCAAAAGAACCTTGGTGGAATTTGGGAGGGGTTTGGACTCTGGTCAATTTAATTAAAACCCTAAGTTAAGAAACACATTCATTATATCTACTTGATGTGCATGGTTTTACTATATAGTACGAAGCCTGTAAAATAAAATTTAAGGAAGTAAAAATAGAACTTTTTCCATGAAGTGCAGTATTTTGTCATTGTCAGTATTAATTAAAATAGATTAACACTTACTGGCTAAAAGATTTAGTGTTATTCACCAAGTGATTTAACACAATTGTTTCAGAAAAGTAGTCAAATTATATTAGCAAAGGTTGGACATCCCCATGTAATAAAAACTGAAGTGACTTAATCTGAATAACTCACAAACGTCAGCAATGTTTATTGAATGTGTGTGTGCACATTTTAAGGGTTAGTTTATTTTTTAAATGAAATTGTTGCTAAAAGTCCTTTTCATATGTATATGTGTGTGTGATGTATATGTATTTTAACATGTGGTATAGATTATATTTGATTATATATTTTATAGAAATACATTTTTAGATATATATCTATATACAAGATATATCTATATAGATATAGATAGGCCTGTAAAAAGCAGTGTGTGTGTAGTGTGTGTGTGTGTGTGTGTGTGTGTATACACAAACATATATATACATGTTTTATAAAGATATATATTATATATATATATATATATATATATATATATATATATACACACACACACACACACACATACATGTATATAACTTAGAAGCCTCTTATCAGCTCTACAACCCAGAAGTGGTTGGGTTTCTTTGTTTTGTTTTTTTGAACATCTGGGAGCCATCTCACTGTCACCAGGGGAGTTTAACCTTGGTGCTTCTCTCTAACCCAGGGGTCCTCAAACTACGGCCCACGGGCCACATGCAAATACAAATATTGTATTTGTTCCTGTTTTGTTTTTTTTACTTCAAAGTAAGATATGTGCAGTGTGCATAGGAATTTGTTCATAGTTTTTTTTAAACTATAGTCTGGCCCTCCAACGGTCAGAGGGACAGTGAACTGGCCCCCTGTTTAAAAAGTTTGAGGACCCCTGCTCTAACCTATAAACATTTCTTGTTAGAGAGGTAAGAAAGGTTTTTTATGCTTGTTATTTGTTGGATAAAGGCAATTAGCTTAAACAAAGAACTACCCTAATGGTCAGGTGAATTTAGAGTGAACTATGGAAAGGTGCACAGCAAGTAACGCTGGCAAGTCCTCTTTCCGGGGGCAGATTACCTTTTCTGTTGAGGATATATGTATGTAATGATTGTAGCTCCTTGGCTGTGTAAATAAATGTGGTTTTATCTGTCTTTTTCATAGATTACCTACAGTGTTGTGCTTTGACTATGCTTATCTCTCTATATATAAAAGGCTAACATGCAAAATGTCCCCTTAGGAGTTCGACCGGGAGATCGGAAGTTCGATCACTCGCTATGACTTGCACTGACCACCAGGGGGTGGCACAGACCGAAGGAAGGCCCCGGCCAGCAGCCGGCAGCCAGGGAAGGAAGGCCCTGGCTGGCAGCTGGCAGCTGTAAGGAAGGGCCTGGCCAGCAGCGGAAGGCCCTATTTGGCCCTGATCGCCAGCCAGGCCTAGGGACCCTACCTGTGCACAAATTTCATGTACCAGGCCTTGTTCAATAATAAAACTGCTTTCCTTCTACATTTTGTTGGGAAGATTCTGTGGTAATAGCACCTTATTTCCCCAACACTATCCACATTCATCACACAAGCTGTGAAGGGTACAAACACAAACAAGATTTGATGCATGCCCTGTGGAACTTATATTCTAAAGAGACTCACAAGTAACTCTGTACTGCAAGGCAGTGTGAGTACTGCTGGGGAAAAACAAAGAGCATAGAGGCAGTAGAGGAGATTCAGCCTGGGAGAAAGTCAAACTCACAGAAACATAGGGTAGAATGGTGGTTACCATGGGCTGGGGCTAAGGAAAATGGGGAGAAATTGATCAACAGGTATAAAATTTTAGCTATAGATAAATAAGGTTTGGGAATCTAATGTGGTGACTATAGTTAACAGTACTGAATTGTATACTTGAAAGTTGTTGAGAGTAGATATTAAGCATTCTCACCACACACACATACACACACACACACACACAGATAACTGAGGTGGTGAATGTGTTAACGTGATTGTGGTAAATATTTCACAATGTATATGTATATGAAATCATTATAATGTACACTTTAAGTGTGTACAGTTTTCTCAATTATATATAAACTAGAGGACTGTTGTACAAAATTCGTGCATGGGTAGGTTCCCTAGGCCTGGCTGGTGATCAGGGCTAATCACCCTCTGGCTGCCAGCCCAGGCCTTCCTTCGTTCTGTGCCGCCCCCTGGTGGTCAGCGCATGTCATAGCGAGTGATCATACTCCCGGTCTCCTGCTCAAACTTCTGAGGGGACACTTTGCATATTAGCCTTTTATATATAGATAAAGCTGGGGTGGGGAGATAGAGCAAGGAGTATAAGGCCACAGACCCAGGAATAAGGAAGACTAAGTGAGGGAGCGGAGGAGAGGAAGCAGCAGAAATGACTTCAGATCACAAAAGGCTTTGAGTGCCATCCATAGGAAGCTAGACATTTGTTTGTTTATCCATCCACTTTATAAGTGGAATTAGTAACATGAATAGGTCTGATCTTCGGGAAGATTTGTTTGACATAATGTACAGAATGGATTGGATTGACTGAAGACTGCAGAGGAGACCATTTACGTGCTGTTGTAGTCGTCAGATGAAAGGCAGTGAGGGTTTGGATGAGGGTACTGGCAGTAAAAATTGAATGAAAGATCTTTGAGGCCCTTAGAAACAGAATATTGGAAGATCTTGGATGTAGATTTTATGTGAGGAGCAAGGGAAAGAAAGGAGCTGGGGAAGATTTCAGCACTCTGCCCTAAGGCACTGGAAGATACGATGTCATTAACAAAGAGAAAAGAGGAAAGAGACATTGAGTGTGATAGGCCAGGCAGCTGGGGTTGCCTGGTGGACAGTTAGAATGTGTGCATGGAGTTTAGGAAAGAAACTGAAACTAGAAATGTAGATTTGAGAGACACCTTCCCAGATGTTATAGTTGAAGCCATTGACTTAGATGAGACTGTTGGGAAATAAAAGCTAAGTGATTCAAATATATAGCTTGGAATGAATGAATGAATGAATGAATGAATGAATGAGAAAAAACAAGTATACAACTTGGAAAATTCCTGCATATGTGGTGCGGAAGGAAGGCGAGTCAGTAATAGAGGCAGCAAAGGAATACGCTGCAAGGGGTAAGAAACCAGTAGAATGAAATGGCCTTGAAATCAAAAGCAAAGAAAGTTTCCGGAAGAGTGTTCAGTTCGCTTTAGATGCTGCATAGAAAGACTAAGGAAGATGAAGATCAATGATTTACATTCTTGCCATTCCATATGTATATGACTAACTGGTAACCACCTGACACGCAACTATGGTCATCATTTTCTGTTTAACAAACGTTACTTTTGTGCACTAAAATTACTTCAAGATGTGTACTTCTCATTTGTTAAATAGACAAAAGATGCATCGCAGGCAAAGTGGTTGTTCCCCGGCTGCCAAACACACAACGTACGCACACACCCCTACATACACACCTCTACATATACACCTGGGGTTATGTTGCTAGACTGTATTATAAGACAGACAGTTTCATGTGCTTTCTCCTTCCATCCAGAACTTAAACAACTATGCAATGTATTACTATCCTGGGACATCCAGAAAAATTCCAGTAAATAGGAGATTTGGAAAATAAATATATCACATATAAAATTACGTTAAGGGTACACTTCAACTGCCTGGTTGCCAAAGCTTTAGGATTGCTACCACTACAGTGAGAATACAAGTTTATGAGATGGAGCAGCAGCACATTAAGTTGTGCTGTTAGAGTCTCTTCAACTGTTCCCACTTTTGGTATTTTTATTTTATTTTGAAGTGTCTTAGTCTGTTCTGGCTGCTATAACAAAATACTGTAGACTGGGTGGCTTAAATAAGAAATATTTATTTCTTGTAGTTCTGGAGGCTGGAAAGTCCAAGATTAAGATGCCAGCAGTGAGAGAGCTCTCTGGGGTCCCTTTCATAAGAGCACCAGTCCCATTCATGATGTTTTTACCCTCATGTCCTAACCTCTTAAAGACCCCTCCTCCTAATACCATCACGTTGGAGGTTAGAATTTCAACATGTAGATTTTGGAGCATTCAGTTCATAACATGGAGTAATGCTGCATTTGGGAACTATTAATTTGTCACCAGAAAATGTTTTGCTTTACTTTTTTATAAAAACGTGCTGCACATGTTAAACTTCATTTGGAGTCAGAATCAGTGATTTTTTTGCTGGTTATATATCAGGGTTTGTAATAAAAATTTGGGGGAACATGTAAATCACTTTACATAACCTATTTTTTTCCCCAGTAAGCTACTAGAGGACATTAATTTAGGTAATGGGGGTATAATTGTAGTCAATTTTGTTATTCTTATCCTACCTCAAGGTAACGTAAGCAATGGAAATAATAAATTAGTTTCTCTCCAGCTCTTGATTAGAGCTACAGAGTGAGCTTTTTAAAGCTGCATCAATGATTGGCTTAAAAATAGATTCAGAAATGCATTAAGTATGGACTTTAACAAAACTGTAAAAAGCTTAAAATAACTACTGCTTTCATGCCGTGCTTTAAGATGTGCTTAAGGACTCTCCGTTTTTTTCATGTCAACATTCTAAACTCACATTTATATTTTGTTTTTCAGTGGGAAGCAGTGAGGTGTATTTTGAGTAAGATGGCTCTCAGATTATAGCATTGATATTTTGTTTTATTTGTTTATAGCTGCTGGGCGAACTGATCCTGGATAGACACAACTTTGCCATTATGACAAAGTACATCAGCAAGCCAGAGAACCTCAAACTGATGATGAACCTCCTTCGAGATAAAAGTCCCAATATTCAATTTGAAGCCTTTCATGTCTTTAAGGTAAAGTGTAAGCTACAGAAATAAAGTGGGCATTTGTTTTCCAGTTTCAAGTGGCAAACTCCCTATTTTTTATTCTCTTTTATACTTGAGAAAAAATTAAATAGGCAGTCTTTTGTTTTGCATGACTTGGGTGAAATTTTAGAGTTATATTAATGAATGCCCGTTTCTTTCTAAAAGGTTTCTAACTAATCCATATCTCTAAATATTTTCTTTTTTTTTTATTAAGAAAATAGGTAGATACTGTTTCCTAAAAGTTACTAAAATAATCAGTGACTGAGCTAGAATGCAAATCCTGAGTGTGAGAATTTGAATGCTTTGCTTTCTGCCTTAAGCAGAAATGAAGCAATGAAGAAATACTTGCATACTACTCACTTTTTTTACTTATTCATAAATATTTTTGTAAATGCATTTTCCTATGAAAGAAAGCTACCCCCGGTTATACCTGCTATCTCTTCCTATTAATTATAAATTAATTATAAAATTAATTATAAAATTAATTATAAAATTAATTATAAATTAATTTTGGGTTTAAATTGCTCTAGTGACTTTTTGGATAATGAAGATCTGGTGGCTGAAAGATGGATTAAAACTTTTTTTTACCTCTCAGAGCAACAATTAAATCCTGTATAATAAAGGATTTTTCATCTCTTCCTATTTTCTTTGCTTTTTTCATTAGCATCCTATATAATAAAACCCTAATATGCAAATCGACCAAATGGTGAAATGACCAGCAGAACAGCTGGTTGCTATGATGCGCACTGACCACCAAGGGACGACTGGAAGCGGCGTTGGGGGCCAGGGCCAGCCAGTGGGCAGTGCCAGGCTGCCGGCCAAGGCGGGTGCCAGCAGGGGCGCCCTGATCGCCACGCCCACCTGTCGTCCCACAGAGCAGCACTGATCGCTGGCCAGGCCTAGGGACCCTGCCCAAATATTGGGAACAGTCTCTTAGATTTAAAAATTAAAACCTGGCAAGGCTACTCTAACACTGAAAAAACAGGATGATGCAGTGATGACATACATGGACTCTGGCTTGCATATTTTGTGGTCACTACTGATTCTGACACTTATAACTGTGTGACAAAGCCAATTATTTAACTTCTCTCTGCTTCAGTTTTTCCACCCATAAGATGGGGAAAATGGTACTGCTGCCTCAGAAGGATCATGTTATGTACTACTTTTTATAATCAGGGCAAAAAAATGTAGCTGCCCATACAACAGCAAGATGCCTTTCACCTGTATGAAAGTATGGTCACTGGTGCATACAGCGTCCTAGATTGTGAGAGAGATGTCTGACTGCTGGTTTAGGCCTGTGGAGATTGGGTCTAAACCGGCAGTCGGACATCCCCCAAGGGCACAAGCTGGCCTGAGGGCCCCCCCCCCCCCGCACAAGTGCATGAATTTTGTGTCCTGGGCCTCTAATAAGTAATAAAATGGCCTCCTAGAAACTTTAGACAATAGATTTTTATAGATTATGGTTAATGAGAAAAATCTAATCTGTAATCCCATACTCCTAACTATTGTAAAGATTTTAGTAAATTTTATTTTCCTGTGCACATATTTGAAGGTTTTTTTTTCTACAACTGTATTCACATTGTATACAAAATTCATATCCTGATTTTATCACTGAATGCCATAACATCAGTAAACATTAATTCATTACCATTATATGTCATTTTTAGAGCTAGTAGTTTTATTGGTATCATAGTTTATCATTGGGTATATTTATTTTAGTTTACTTAAATATTTCTACAGGCTAGGTGGGCTTTTTTTAATCTTTATAATGTATGTTCATTAATTGAATTTATCAGTCTATACATGGACACATGGCCGTTTATAAGATACTAGAGGCCTGGTGCAAAAAATTCGTACATAGGTAGGGTCCCTAGGCCTGGCCAGCAATCAGGGCTGATCTATGGGGTGACCAGTGGGGCAATCGGGGGAACCCCCGGCTGGCACCCACCTTGGCTGGCCTGGCGCCGCCCACTCGCTGGCCCTGCCCCCCACTGCCACCGCTGGACAGGGCCTGCAGGCTGGGGGCACCGCTCCTGCATTGAGCATCTGCCCCCTGATGGTCAGTGCATATCATAGCAACCGGTCGTTCTGCCAGTCATTCCACCATTCAGTCGATTTGCATATTAGGCTTTTATTATACAGGATTTAATTGTTGCTCTGAGTGGTAAAAAAAAGTTTTAATCCATCTTTCAGCCACCAGATCTTCATTGTCCAAAAAGTCACTAGAGCAATTTAAACCCAAAATTAATTTATAAATTCCATTCAATTACATTCAAAATTCCAACAGGAATTTTCCTGGAACTTAACAAGCTAATTCAAATTATTAGCTTTGTTATTTTTGTGTGTTTTGGGGTTTTTTTGTTACTTTTGTGTGTGTGTGTGTGTTTTTGTTACTGTTGTTTGCTTTTTAAAAATTTATCTTTATTGTTGAAAGTATTACAGATGTCCCCTTTCCACCTCCCCCCCCCCTCATTGACCCCTTTCACAAGTAATGGCTTAGGATTATCGATGGTAATTTTGAAGAACAGATAGCGGAATCCTCCCTACCAGATTTTAAACTTATTATGCCCAGTCAAAATGGCAGAGTAGGAAAATGCTATGCTTGCCTCCTCCCGTGACCACATCAAAATTACAACTAAACTACAGAACAACCTTCATTGAGAACCACCTGAAATGTAGCGGAACAGAAATCCCATAACTAAGGGTATAAAAAAGAAGCCACATTGAGCCCGACCAGTGTGGCTCAGTGGTTGAACATGAACCCATGAACTAGGACAGTGGTCAGCAAACTGCGGCTCGGAAAACTGCGGCTCCCGAGCCACATGTGGCTCTTTGGCCCCTTGAGTGTGGCTCTTCCACAAAATACCGATTTCTGCACATAGGCCATGAAGTTTCAACCGCACTGTACATGCGCCCGCACATGGTATTTTGTGGAAGAGCCACACTCAAGGGGCCAAAGAGCCACATGTGGCTCGCCAGCCGCAGTTTGCCGACCATGGAACTAGGAAGTTTGATTCCTGGTCAGGGCACATGCCTGGGTTGCGGGCTCGATCCCTAGTGGGGGGTGTGCAGGAGGCAGCTGATCAATGGTTTTTCCTTCATCATTGATCTTTCTATATCTCTCTCCCTCTCCCTCTCTGAAATCAATAAAAATATATTAAAAAAGAAGCCACATTGAGACAAGTAGGAGGGGCCTTCGCACAGAATGGGTTGGTCCCAAACCCGTATGTGGCAGTTTTCTCAGTGTGAAAGGTCCCAGGCCCACATCATGCTTCCTAGCCCAGGGTTCCAGTGCAGGGAAGAGAGGTCCCTATAAATTCTAGCCGTGAAAACCAACAGGGACTGAGGCTGAGAAGATTCAATCTGGAGGGCTGCTGGAGTCATAGGCATTCCTTTTAAAGGGCCTGTGCATGGACTTACTCGCTGATGAACTCGACAGCTCTGAGCTCCAGTGCTGGGATTGTGGCTGAAAAAGCACCAGGACATTCTAAAGGAACTTAATTATCTGGCTCAGGGTGAGGACTGGAGAGGCGGCTTTCTTTCAGACAGATGTGCTGGCAGAGGCCATTGGTCCTTTGTTGAGCCCTCTCCCACCTAGCCTGCAGGCTCAGGCTGAAACCAAGTCTGAGTCTCCATCAACCCGGCTAAAACCATTTGCCCAGCCCTGGTGATTCTCCCACCCACCCAGCTTGCTGGCCTACCTAGGCCACTTCCAGTGGCTTTTCCATACAAACAGCCTGTTATGGCTCATGCTTCGTACTTTACTAAATTCTCTCAAAGGTTCACAAACCTCAAGTAAGCAGTATATGGCCTCATTGTGCCCATACTTCTTACTAAGCAGCCCCAAGCCTGGCACAAGCACCAGCCATCTGCAGATCATATTAAGTGGCCCTGGGCAGGGCACAGGCAGTGTACCTGACCCCCTCCTAAGAAACCCCAGAACAAGCACACCCAGGGGCCAGCTTCAGACCACACAGAGCACCACCCAACCATCTCCACAAACAACACACCTAAAGGGTGGATTCAGAAGGCATCAGAGCCTTGCTGAAGGGAATCCTACTTTTCCGTAGAGTGAGGCCCTGCACAACAGCTCCTCCACTATAGTCATAGTCAGTCCTGAAAGTCAGTCCCTCTCATTGGCATGCCAATAGCAATCAAGGCTCAACTGCAGCAGAAGGGCACACACAAACACAACCCACACAGGGAAACACCTGTGGTACCTGGCTCAGGTGACCAGGGAGGCTGCAACACTGGCATTACAGGACACCTACTACATAAGGCCACTCTATAAAACTAGGAGACAGCTTTACCTAGCACAGGAAAAAACACAGGAGGCAGCCATAATGAGAGATGAACAAACACGTCCCAAATGAAAGAACAGGACAAAACTCCAGACAAAGAACTAAACAAGACGGAGACAAGCAATCTACCAGATGCGGAGATCAAAGCACTGGTTATAAGCATGCTCAGTGAACTCAGGGGAAGAGTGGAGGAACTCAGCGAGAGCTTACACAAAGACATAGACAACATGAAAGTAGAGATAGGAAACATACAAATAAACCAGTCAGAAATGAAGACTACATTAGAAGGAATCAACAATAGATTGGACGAATGAGTGTATTGAATCAACAATTTGAAAGACAAGGTAGCAGAAAACACACAATCAGAACAGCAAAAAGAAAAAATAATCCAAGGACATGAGGATAGTTTAAGGAATCTCTGGGATTTCAAGTATACCAACATTTGCATTATAGGGATACCAGAGAAAGAAGAGAGAGAGCAAGGGATTGAGAACCTATCGAAAGAAATAGTGACAGAAAATTTCCCCTAACCTGGCAAAGAAAATAGATACATGTCAGGAAGTGCAGAGTCCCAAACAAAAGGGTCCTACACCAAGATATACCATAATTAAAATGACAAAGGTTAAGCATAAAGAAAGAATCTTAAAAGCAGGAAGAAAAAACAGTTAGTGGCATATAAGGGAGCTC